CACACACACACACACACACACACACACACACACACACACACACACACACAATGAGGACATGCAAACTCCACACAAAATGTAATACCTTAGGCCCAGCCTGGGACTTGAACCCAGGACCTTCTTACTCTGCAACCACTAAGCCACTTTGCTGCACAAAAATGCATCAAGATATTGAATAATTAGAAACTGTTAAATGCAGCAAGGTTGCTTAAGCTGTGCTTTACAGGATGAATAACCAAAATAAGGAATTCGTAGTGCAAAAACCATGAGCCAAGCAGTGAACCAGTAGGTAAAAGTTCAACTTAAGCAGAATGGAATAAACACTCACTTGACCCCCGCAGAAAAGCTGACGACGGGAAAAAAGAGTCCGTCTACGTTGAAATTCTCAAACATGCCTTGGACAGGCTGTCCGTTGATTCTGTAGGAGATGCTGGGAGCTCCCAGATCCAGACAGCAGCTCACCACATCATCAGAAGTCAGGACATGCTGGTTCACAGATGCAACTGCTCGTGGGATACGACCTGATTTAGACAGCCAAACAGGCAATTATGTGAACATGGCCTACTGAGTGATGCTGGCAAAGATAACATCTCTCCAACACACACTGAATGCAACACATTTGCACACAGTCTGGATAAGAAAATTGTCCCTGCAGGTTACTGATTGTCTGGATATAAATTGGATGGATCCCAGAGATACAACTCATCTTTAACATGTTAGTGCTTATTCAAATAAACTCCATCCTCCCACTCACCTGACCAGAGGTGGAGTCCATCAAAACCATACGAGTAGAGGTCATCGCCAACGCCATTGCCTCCCCAGCCCTCTCCCCCTCCAGGATAAGGTGCGTAACCTTTTGTGTTGGCCCAACCCACTCTCAGGTGGGAAGGCTCACTGGTCACAAAGTGGTCCACCTGGTCAATCATCAGCTCGTAGTACCACTTCTTATACTGAGCAGCACCTTCACTCACGCCCAGGAAGATGTTAGGTCTCATACTGACAAAAAAAATACAGCAAAATATTGAATCATTGAACATCCCCCAGTGAAAGGGAGATCCAGTCATTTCTATAGTTGGATGGTATTATTTATCAACAAAAACGAACGCAAAAGTTCAGCTTAGGGGTCGAATAACTTGTAGTCCAAGCAAACTCTAAGTTGAGAATATTTTATTGTAAAATGTTAGCAACTTGTGTGTCACATGAAACACATCAATGACCCATGAACAGTAAATAAACAGTCTTTAGCATGAAGAATTCACATAACCACTGACATTTTTTGGCGTTTGTGTTGTTTCAGATGGCATAAATTTGATCTTATATGGGCTCTCTTTAAAATAGCTTTTAGCTTAAATTTTTCCTGAAAAGAATCCCCAACATTTTCCAAATTGTACACCAATTATAAACCAGTACAATAGTCCCTCACTACTTTGTGGTTCGACTTTCGCGGACTCACTATATTGCGATTTGTCAAAACACATTAGCTTTTTTTTTATTGTACAGGACACATAAAAATCAGGTGGACTGGCGCTGCTATTTTGTAGTTTTCTCTCAATAAGCCTACACTGTATCCCCCACTCTTAATGACTACATTTCTCAGAAGCCAACAGGGCCCCGCCCAGAAGCCTCGTTTCCTTCTGCTGAAATACTAGAGGGAAAGTTTTTATCGGATCAGAAAAAGTTTGGCGCTTATTACAGTGACTTCGGTGGCCAGTGGATGCAGAGAGCCACAAGGAACCCACCGAACCAGACCAGAACCGGAGCAGACCTCCAGACCCATCTGTGAACCTTGAGAGCTAGTAGCTGGCTCAAGAGGATTTCTGAGCGGGTACATGCCGCCATAGGTCCGGGGCTGTTTCCGGAGCCCATTGGGACTTTTGTCATCGACCACCTCTGGTCCCGCGCCGGCCAACCGAAAGTTCCCCCCTTCCAAATTGCACTTCGGCGCTCAAGAGCTGCACTGAACCAAACCAGAACCAGACCCCCAGACTCAACGGTGAAACCGAGAGACCCTATCCAATCCACGAAGACTTCCAAGCAGGGACTTGCTAATGTAGGTTCGGCGCTCCACCCAGAGTCCACCAGGACTTTTTTCATCTCTCGGGTCAGACCGGAACCGAGCCATTCCTGTTCTGCAGAGCCTGATAAGTAAAATTTATTGGATACATATAAGAATGTTGTTAAAATTAGTAGGTTTAGGAGTTTATAACATTGATTGTGGGCATTTTTGCTGCAAGGTAGGTCTGCAGAAATGGAACAGAGTTGGACCAGAACCGAGAGCCGCTCCTGTTCTGCAGAGCCTCGTAAGTAAAATTTAGTAGCTACATATACAGTACTGTACGTATGTTGTTAAAATGATGTAGGTTTAACAGTTTAGAACATTGCAAGAGTGTGGGAAGGGTTTATAAAGCCTTAAAATATATAGAAATACTAAAATAAATATAACATTGCTACTTTGTGGATTTTCACTTATTGCGGGGGGGGGGGGGGGGTCTGGAATGTAACCCTCACAATAAACGAGGGACTACTGTACTTGAATTATTTATTCAAATAAGACACATTCTTCCTATTGAAGCACTCGTCTAACAATCAGTGTAAATAAGTATGATGTGAAATGGTTCAGAGGCAGCTTCACAAATAGATGGCTTCCACACCTCTGGACGTCATTGACCAGCTGGGTTTGTAACAGCAGATCTCTTTTTGGCAGCAAGTGGTCACAGATGAGGTTCTGATTGGTTCGCACAGCTACGCCGTTACACACACACAGCGAACAGAGCACATCCAGAATCTAAAAGAAAAAAAAAACAGACCAGAGCCATCAGGAAGGATAATAAGCAATAACCATGAGTCCAAGACCTCAATGGCTCTCCAACAGATAATCACATATTTACCTCATTTTCTCTATTAAACACCAGATTTAAATCCATATCCGCCCAGAAATGACTAATTATCTGTGTCCCAAATCACTGTCCAAGTTGGTGCACTGGGGACAGTCGCTTTTCATGCAAACCCTGCATAATTACACCGATGCTTCTTAGAGGTAAAAACATGTCCAATAATATTTCTTTGATGTTCACTTAACAAAGGCGTAGAATTAAATGGGCTGGGAAGCCAAGCCGAGGATGACAGGCCACTTTATCATTGACCTTTTCATCCTGCTTCCAAAGCAAAACAATACATTTAGGCTGATTTATGACCCAGGCCACCCAACTGTCTTCTTTTAATTTTATTATCCCAGTAAACAGACTTATGCATGATAGAGAAGCATTGCAGGAAACCTCTGTCAAGGGTGCAAGATTATATTGGTAAAAGGTAAATACAATCAATTAATGAATGAAAAAACATGATATGAAGAGTTTTAGAAGCAATTAGTTTGAAAATAAATATGTAGCTAATCAATCCCTTAAGTGAGCTGTGAAAAGGTCAGAACTAAATATCAGAACAGACAAAAAACATCAAATGGTTTAAGCACATTTTCTTCCTTGACTAAAAATATACCATTATTGCTCCTGATATAGGGGAACTGGAACCATTTTCCTGTTTCTATAATATTATATGGCCAGATCCAGCAGCTGATTAGCTTAGCACCAGGAATGTAACTAAGATTATTTGACTATTTTCTGGTGTAAATGTGACTACCTGTTATATAACAGAGCCATGTTCTTGGCGGTTTCCAGGCCTTGGAGAATGGAATGACTGAATGAACATGAAGGATGTGTCACCTCATCCTGTATTGTTTTCATGGATAAGTGATTAGCAGACCCAAAGGTATACAGATCTTACATTCAGCTAGAAAAGCAAACCTCAAACTAAAAAGAAAATAGAATATATTTGGGTTTTTGTTAATATTTAAGTACCTTTAGAAATATTTCAAATTTTAAGATCACAAACCATTTAAAAACATTTATGGTCACACATTAAAGTTTTGCTTTGAAAACAACTCTTCAGGTGGTGTCCTTTTAATTGAAAATACACTCTCAAGGGATAAATAATTTTTACAGTTCCATTTAAAAAGAAGAGAAAATGCAGGAGGAAATTAATTTGTTGAAACATTCTAGACTTGAAAACATTTTTCCTTTTATCTTCTTATGTATTACAAATAACATTTACATTTTGATTAAATATATACTTTACATTATGTATGTTCTATGTTCATACATGACTAGAATATAAAAGTAATAATAAAGTAATAAAATTTAGCAATACACATATCTTTAAAAATCTAAACCATTTTAGGAAGATATTTTATTTTTCTCAATTTCACTATTTCTTATTTGCTGTTGCAAGCTGTGTTTTCAGCTGCGGTTTTAACATATTCAGCATAACTCCACCAGCATATATGAAGGGAATCCACCCTAAATCAACAAGAACTGCAGCAAAATTCCAAACAAGCTGCAACAGGTTAGAGCGGCACGGTGGCGCAGTTAGTAGAGCAGCCACCTCTCAGCAACAAGGTCACCGGATCAAATCCCGGCCAGGGATCTTTCTGGGTGGAGTTTGCATGTTCTCTCCGTACATGCGTGGGTTTTCTCCGGGTACTCCAGTTTCCTCCCACAGACCAAAAACATGCATGTTAGGCTGATTGGTAACTCTAAATTGTCCCTAGGTGTGAGCGAGAGAGTGAATGGTTGTTTGTCTCTATGTGTCCCTGTGATGGACTGGAGGCCTGTCCAGGGTGTACCCCACCTCTTGCACAGTGATGGCTGGACATGGGCACCAATAACCCCTGCGATTCAAAAAAGGAAGAAGCAAGTACACATAATGGATGAATGGATGGATGGATGGATGGATGGATGGATGGATGGATGGATGGATG